CTTTCGCTACCGTCAAATCGACAATTTTAAACGCAGGATAATGGACGTGAAAGGTAGTTATAAAAATTCTCACGCGTTTCGAAAATAATGGCTTACTTGTCATATAATTAGGTCAGGGGAGCAACCTGTCGACTCACACGCATTGTCTCGTCTCGTGCGCCCGCTACGGTACCGTTACCATGGTAACCGCGGTCAAGTTCGGCCGCTTGTGACGTACTCATTTGACAGTTGACATTCTAATTTACAACTCTGGCTTATCATTTTGTTGCTACGTATTAGGAATTAATTTATTTCCAAATGTTTAACGTTTTAAGTTGCATTTTAAATTTTGACATATATTGTATACTTTTCGATTACATGCTATTATAAATGCGAATGTTTGTACGTTTGTAAAATAAATATTTTATCGTTTATTATATTTATTTATTTATAGTTTTTCGCACATTTCCGTCCGCTTCATCGCTCTTAGTAGTCTCAGCGGGATGTTGCATAACCTAAATGTTTATTTGAAAGCTAAAGAGATTTCTTTGGCTTTACAATGTTAGTATTTGCTTGATAAAGGATATCCTCCGTCCAGCGTTTGACATTTTAATAGAATACATTTCCTACAATGTCCACTCGATAAGGATCTGAATAGACCGTCGGCTGACATTAAAAGACCGTGCACTTGTGACCCCTTTATGTTCTATACGGGGTCTGTTAATGACAGTACCGCACAGCATTAGAATATTCATTACAACTGTAAACACACGCTCGCTTGTTTTGAATAGCCGAGCACGGCAAGATCGAAGTGTAAGCTATGTGAATTCCTTTCATGGCGCGCCTTGACTCCTGACCGCGAGCATTTGAAGGCATTTGGAAGTAACGGAAATCTGAAACAATGTATGCGCGTTATCAGTCCTTAATCACATCACGTTCGTACCTTAAATGTAAATGTTATGTATATGAAGCTTGCGTCTTCTAAGCATTCCACCAGTGTGTCAAAATTCGAATAACGGTCTGCAGTATTAGAATTTTTACAGTATAGCCCACTAGAGGCAGAATAGCCTAGATGCAATTTTATGACTTGATGTATTTATATTTTTATAGTCTAAAAATGTAACTGTAAACTAAATTGTTACACAAATAACTTAATAAGAGTAACTCATTTGAAAATTTCATTGAAAATCATTTTTTTCTTTATTGAGCCACTCTGACTCTGCCTCATATATATACTTCATGACAAGATGTGCAGTTGATCTATTTTGTTTTTGGATATTCGGAAGTACAAACAGAAAATACCACTTGCTTTACTATCTGTGCAAGGTTCCTGACTTGGAATTTTGATTTTCATTTAATACTTCGATATCTGATAATATTATAAAAAATAAAAAGATTTTAGACCTCGTGGGAATCGAACCTAGGACGAGATTAGATAAAATGAAAAACCTATTAGCCAGCTAATGTTGCACTACTAAATAGTACAATTAAAATCTTAACTATTTTGTTATTAAAATACAGATATGTGCAGTGTACTCTTATTCTAAATAAGGCGTATTTCCGTCTTCAACGAATTGATTAAACCACTTTTAATAGCGTGACACAGATGTGTTCTCGCCTTATATGTCAGTCGTAATACATAGCTAGTTTTCGTTTTCGGAAGCCCAAATGTTTTATTGTTCTGCGGTAGTCATGGCTGACGGTCATGGTCGGTAATTGAGGGAAGTTGTCAATATGAGGTCAATTGATACTTTCTTTTTATTGTTAACCAAAAGAAGGTTTTATATTAGGAGATTTGCGCGTTCCACAATGGGTAATGTAATTTGATTCTTAGTTTTGGTCTATTGTTAATTTTATACCGTTTCGTTGTACGTACATAACTATCTAATTTATACGTACTGTTGTAAATGGGATTGTGTGTATCTTTACTTAGTACTTACTCATTTGCTTCGATAGTAAAGCCGTAGTGAAATAGAAGGCCTTTCTCATACAAATCTTTTCATACTCAAGAGTAACATGTGACTGAAAATTACACGTAATTTCTTTAATTAAATGACAAATGTGAATAAAATGTATGACCCTTAAATGTTAGTTCAAAATAACCTCATATATGTAATCAGCATTTAAATCGTAGATCATTAACACGTTAAATTGTTTATTTATACAGATTACTTCGTTAGTCTGCATTTTATTGTTTTCTTTTTTAATGTGGGAATTTGTTATTGCCTATCACTAACAATGTATTGTTGATGGTCAAACGGAAATAAGACATATAATCTGTGGTAGATTAACATGCAAAGCTTGGCAATAAATTATAGTGAAACATGCAAATTTATCTTGTAATATAGAAGGTTACTTGTGCAGTTTAAAATCGTGAAGTTAGTTATTTAAAGGGCCTAAAAACTGCATACATAATAAAAGTTAAGCTTGAACTAATATAATCTTAATATAAAATAGTGAGATTTGACGATTCTGTATTGAAGTTAAAGGATTGCATACATTGATATAAAAGTAAGTAAACTTGAATGCGTAATTAAATAATATTATTATGAACAGACAAAATAATTTAGGAATTTTTAAAATTATGTTATTTGAAGAGACATCAACTTTATTGTCTACTTCAAAATATTGTTATTAAAAAGTGTAATCTCTAGTAACGGTGCGTTCAGACCGTCCGAATTTATTTAAAACAAGTTTTAAACATTATACATTTAACCTAAATAAATACGTCTGTAAGTATTTTAACAGTTAAACGTTACAATATTCACGATTAAAAAGAGGTTATTTTTCTTTAAAAGAGCTTATTTGAGAGAACTTTTTGTTGCTACTGAAATATAAATCAACACCCACAGATTAAAAAGACAGTTAAATTGGAAAATTCCAAAGAGTATAGTCTGTGCCCATGACTGTGATATAACCGTTACAATCATTATGTGACATATGTGAAACACGTTACGCCACTAATTGAGCTTAGAATCACGGGACTGATTCGCCCATCACGCCCTGTTTCACGCATTTAACGGTTAACATCTCAGTTATAATAATTTATTTCGTAATCTGCGTCTGCGCACTCATTGTGACCTTTGTTTACTCGGCGTTTGTTTAACGTGCGCGTAAAAATGTGACATTATAAAGTGTCATTAAAGACGTTAGACAAGTTTAATACTCAGTCCCCTAGTGTTAGTCACAGGGTATTGGCCTCAATCGATGAGTCAATAGATTTTTGTGTTAATTCCGTTTAAATGGGTATTTTGCATCTAACGAAGAAGGCGTGGGTCGTTTAGGCATTCCTATAACAGTATAATTTAAAGTAGCTAACTTGGCATACGTTTTTTTGCTATATGACGTTTGACTTGATTAAATTTTGTCTTAAATTGATTATAAAAACGATTCTTTTGAGCTAATTTTAAAAGACAGATATACTTTCGTGGACATTTTATTCAATTTAAAAAAAAGGACCACTCTTTTCTACACATTTTTTCGGTTTCCAGAACCGTTTTTGCAGCAGTTGATTTGCATAAATAAAATACACAAAATATTTATTAATAATTTTACTTGTCAATTGTCAAAAACAAAGTAATGCTATAAAAGTCCTACCCCAGCCCTACAGTTTGAGAAAGAGATAGATTTTTTAAAAGGATGGGTTATGAATTCTAACTAGACCAAAATTTCCATTGAAGAGATATCTCGGTTAAACCTCGGTTATACATAAAACGTGCCCCCACAGAGTAACAGTACACCTAATAGTACTTTGATATAAATTTATTCGGATAAAAGAAATTTCAATGATGGCAATCATTTTAATTGCTGCACTAAAGCCTCGACCTACATGGGTTGTAAAAAGCACAAACAATTTGTATATTAATTAATTCAAGAAGAAACACCGGAAGGGTTTTGGCTTTTTCATTGTGAAAGTTATCTAAACGGACAATAAAATTTATGTAGATAAAAATGTTTGTCTTAATTTTTTTTATTCATTTTTTATTGTTCCTAATTAGTTTACTAGCGCGAGTTTTGAGCTGAAGTTAATCCTAAGAAGTAGTTCAAAAACCTGTACCGTACTGAAAATAGCGAATTAGATTCCAGGATATAATTTTAACAAACAGGGACAGATAGTTAATTTATTTTCAAAATTCGTATTTCAAATCTGTGTCTATAGTCTATGTTACCTTTACACACTATGTAAACATTTTAGGGTCTATTTATTTGTGTTATCATACACAGATGAACAATAAGTGATTTTGAAGGTTATCTCTGAAAGTCGAAGATACCACAGACTACAAAAGTATCTAATAATAAAATACCGATCAATCGACAACCTCCATTTAAATTGGTTTTTAAGCACTAGAGTGGGAACATACATAAACTTTGTTAGTTTAGTTATGAATTTGTTATTCATTACTCGCTTTTGTATTTGCTGAAAAAACATAGCCAAGCGTTTTACGAGTAGTACAACTAGATGAGAGTAAGTCTTTAGATTGGTTCTTAATTGAAATGTGTAACCGGGCAGAACGTTAAAAGCGATCGAAAGTTTTTCATTTCATTAAGCATGCACACTAATTTCAGATGTTAGTAACAATCGAATGACTTTCTCGTTTACTGTCATTCATCAGCTTGATGAAAGAGTAGTGAAAGTGATATTGAAATGCAAAAAATAAATGAAATTGTGTGTCACCGGCTTTCTTGAAATTTCGTGTTGACCGCCATTTTAAATGCGGTTTTACATCCAATGTTAACGGGCATGTAATATGGTTTTCTATGCGTATTTTTCTTTTTTAATTAAATAAACAATAATCATCAATTAGCCTAGAATTAAAGCAATATATATTTATTGTTATTAAAATTGGCGCAAGAAAAAAAATTGTCTATTATTACTACTATGCAGAGAGTATAAAAGTTTCTTACTGTCTTATTCGGTTAAAGATTCTTGTAATCGTAAAAATGATTTTATAAGCAAAATATTGTTTTGATACACAGATAATAAATATAATGATTATGTATTGTTACAGGTGCTGGACAGAATGAAGGGCAAAGCGCTTGGGTTGACGCCTTTACTTATAATTTTACTGCAGTCTACATTCGTTTTAAGTAAGTGTCAAATATATATTATATCTGTCAAATTATATTTTAAATAATAATAATTCACAAAATTACATAGTGTTAAAACACTATTCCCGGTGATGAAAGCCTTGTTGCATCAGTGATGTATGAAAAAAATTTCATCGAAATTTGTCTAGCTATTTCGGTGTCTAAAAGTATATATCTCCGATCATCTTTGATTATATAAAACTAAATACATACATTTAGGGCACAGATAACATAATTTCTTAATGAACGCATATAAGATATAATTTTTGTTTATTTTCTTCAGCTAAGCTCAAGACAAGTACTTAGATTATCTATGTTTTAATTCCATTTAGGTCGGTAGCTTATTAGGTGTATAGTGCGTTTAGTACGGTAGTTCTGGGTTGGAATACTGAAAATAAAATCATGGTCTTGGCACAGTAATTAACATTTGATATAGAAATGTGTGTTTTCCATGCTCCACGGAGGGAAAACTGATTTTCACTATGGCCTATAATATAGATATGTTATAGAAAGTTATGTGCGATAATTCACTTAATATTCAAGTCGAAACGCAGTGTCATGTAAGTGAATAGTTTAAAGCACTTGTTTATGAGACATGTGCAAGTCACTTTCCTACTGTCGTATTAGTGGGTCGTCTCGACTTTGAATGGCAGCGTGACCGCGTCAGGTAGTTGTTACCGCCCAAAATACATATTATAACGAGATTATCGGGTTACGGTAACAACCGAATTATTTCTAACAACAGGTGACACCCGATGCCACTGCGATCTATGCAAATAAAGTCACGGGTTTATCTAGTTGCATTTGTTTATAACAAAGGAAGAGCGAGTTAAACTTTCGGAAGATGTCGCAACATTCGAACAAAGTAATTTTAACGGTTTAAAAAACGAAATCAATAGATGCAAAAAATAAACAATAGAGGCTTATGTTATAATATGTAGAGCAATGGGCGTTTTTTAAACTAGACCAGACGTTCCTACTACTAATATTTTTTTCGTTGGAAACCCTAAAAAGTTTATTTATCTTTGTACTGCTCGTGTAAACTACAGATAGTGCCTAGACTAGTGCCACATTATTTTTTATGTGTGTGCGTGCATTAAAACACTACTTCAACTCACTTATACCTCAGTTTTCGGTTAAATAACCTGAAAATAAACGAGTGTTTCCCGTCATTTTAATGCATTACTATGTCGGTTTCGCTAACGATTATTACAGGAATTATAGGCAAGCCGTTATTACACTTCTGTGCCCTGCCCGACCGAAACGATTCATTATTTCCAGGGATTCGAACCCAGCATCTCCTATGCTTTACACGGGCTCCTTCCTTCGTAGGAGAACGACCTAAGAATGACACTATCTATGATTGTGTATACTGTGCTTTTGTTCGTCTGTCCTGTAAACATTTATTCTACCTTATATTTAGTTGGACAGATACAATGATGTACTTCTGTATTACAAATAGTTTGTAGTAGCTCAAATTGCCAAGCCTATTAGCAAGTTGTCCAACTACCGCTATTGTTGAGTGCGTATTTAGGATTGTTCCCGCTATTCTTAGTCTATACATTTTGCTTCTGTAACGCTAAGATGTATTAGACTTTTTTCAGTATATAAAAAAACACAAAACATTATTAAATATTGTCTATAATTTACGCGAGTAGTACACATTTAAATAAAACATTTTAAAATATATATTAGTTAAACTTATTTGAAAATGATTTTTAACTTCGGACCGACGTTTCGGATGCTTTGCAGCAGCCGTGGTCACGGCTACGTACTATATGTGAAGTGATTTACAGATAGAATTAGCAGAGTCCTAAAACGAGCTTAAACGGTTTTAAACGCGAAACATATTACGACGAAGGTCGCCAAAACCGCGACAGCAGCTAAGCTAAAATAATTGAAAAATAAGTTAACCAATATATTTTGCGTTTTTAATCATAGTGTTTTATTAAAATATTTAAATTGATTATTTCTTTAATGTGCGTCTATTTAATCGTAGTTACTGTCCGTTAAAACTTAAATGTTACTTATAGACTTAAGAAAATATTGCATGTCACCCCTTATAATTAAACTGTAAGCTTAAGGATTAGGAATTCCTTTTATCCAACCGTAGGGATCAGTTAAGTTTTGTTTTTGTATACAGACATTAAAGCCTAAAATTCTAATACATTATTAAAATAACAACATTCATCATTTAAATAAAACAACACAATAATAATAAAGTTATTGATTAACGATTTACTAAAATCGGTTTTAAAAGATCTGCATACGTAATGGATATTTCTTTATCTCCGTATCATCTGTGGCAATATCACTCCATAAAAGGGCATCACTAGTTCTTAGTCTATGGTTCGAAATCGGCCATATTTGTTGTGGTCTTTTGCCAAGTTAGAAAAAATACACTATACATACATAACTAGGTATATAAATATTGTGCTACTTCGTAATAATTTATGAAAGCTTCAATTAATTGCTTTTATTTCATTTATTGGAATAGTTTTGTATAAAGGACAATTTTAATATGTTTTCATGCCCAAGGAGTACTCATATCAACATATTTCACTCATTTCAAAAATATCACTTCATGTTATAAGTATGTACATTTTTACTTTCTATGAGGATTAAGTTGCTTTAAATAAACAAATGTACTATACTGTCCAATGGCTTGTCTGTAGATGAAAGGTCGAGTAACTATTTTGGTCGTAGTTAATATTTGTTGTATAACTGAGTATCGTCATCCCTACCATTAACTAACAGTTGTAGCTTTATATTATTTTGTACGAGCGTTTAATTTTAATTCTCGTTGCAGGTCGAATTGCGTTTGAAAAGCTCACAGATGTGGACTTCCAAGGGACCGCGTATTACACTGTGAGGAATTTATCATTATACGAGTGTCAAGGATGGTGTCGGGAGGAACCGGACTGCCAAGCTGCTGCCTTTAGGTATTTTAATTTTTGTACATTATCCAATTATCCATTTATAGTCGTTTTAATGTTATATTGGTCTTTGACGGGAACGTTACTCGTTTGTAAATCTGATCGATTTTGTTCAACATCATAATTTGTAATTTTTCGGAAACATAGTGGAATATCCAAATATCCAAAGTTTCGACACCGCATTTAGCTTAAATGTTATATGGCAGGGATATTTCACCCTCTATCAAGTGAATCCCACGCTTGGCTGTTAGATTTCTGAGGGGTGGAAATCTGGCTATGACGAAAAATATTGTCTGTAGTTTACGCGAGTAGCACACACGTAAATAAAATACTTAAACGGTTTAAAACGCCATATATATAAGTTAAACTTGTTTACATATTATTTTTAAGTATGGCCTGTTTCGCTAAATTCTAACTACGATGCAAAAGTATTTCAAATGGGCCATAGTTCAAATAATCGTTAAATAAGTAGAAGTAATATATTGCGCGTTTTAAACCCTTTAAAGTGTTTTATTTAAGTTAAGAAATGTTTGCCATATAAGTAGTATTTCGAAGTAGCTACTAGAGGTATTTGATGTAGTTCGAGAGATTTCGCTTGACCCGCGGCAGTTTCGCGTCCGCTTCCGTGCATGAAGCTTAATTTGTCTATTACATTCAATCAAAATCATGATTTCTCATTGTGCCCGATCGTAGTGTATCTAGCGTAGTTATCTCAGATCACGAAGCTAACCTAAATGTCAAGATAAGATCCGCTTGACATGAAGATTCACTAATCTGCAGTCTCGAGGTCGGGAATGTGTGTCAGCCCGTGCGTCCTCAGAACTTGGAACATTCCAATGATACGGTCTTGGTCAATAACAATGTGTTTCACGCCGCTCGCCACAAACCGTGTAAAAGCGGAAACCGATGTCGGTTCGCTCCAAATTGGATAACAGTAAAAGTGATCGCATACGTCTTCAATAGTCTGCAATACATTACCTCTCGAAAGGGCGGATTTCATGTTTATTGAATTTTACCACCGTAGCAAGTCTAACTGGCTTAAAATTTGATTATTAAACTTAGATTAATCTAGTATCACGTCGTTTGGTGACGCGTTTGTTAAATCCATATTCGTAAGTCGTCGTTGGACGTATCAAATATTTTTATTGCCATTATAACATATTTACAGTAAATTTATTGCTTATAATCAAATGCGAGGATCAAATATGAGAAATGCCAATCGGTCTCAGCTGTCCTGCTGAATGCTTCCACTCAACAGTCTTGGTGTGATAAGAATTAAGCAGCCATCTTGTTACATATCTTAACTTTATTTACCATCGTGACTTAACTAATAGCTAGGAATGTTAAACATAGTTTCGATACGGCAGAATACTAAGGTTCAAGCCACTACGTAGCTATAAATGCAAGTGATTTGTTCAACGGGCATAGAACTGTGTCTGCCCTGCAACCATTTAGAGTTAGCCTTAGCACCTTTTTTATGGCAGAACTCAATACGCAGTTTAACCAGATTTCAAAAACCTGTAGTTTTAAATAATGCGAAATATTAATTAAATACTTTCTATAGTTAACGCGAGTAGTACACATTTAAATAAAACACTTTAACGGTTTAAAACGCGATATAGTCTCCCCGTGACCACGGCTGCTGCAAAGCATCCGAAACGTCGGGCCGAAGTTAAAAATCATTTTCAAATAAGTTTAGCTAATATATCGCGTTTTAAACCGTTAAAGTGTTGTATTCAAACGAAATATTAATTTTCACTTCGCGACGTTTTTATCAATACATCTTAAACAAGTTTTGAAATAATAAATACCTTGAAGATAGAGCGTAAATAAATTCAGATAGGTCTTACATTTATCCATTTTGACTTTGTAAATAGAGTCTAATGCTATTAGACACGCGGGCGCCATCAATCAAAACTCGATTACGAGTCATAATATCATCTCATTATAGTCGTGTAACCTGTTTTGTCACTTGAATAGGTCCTAAAAAAATATAATTATTGTTTAAGACTCACGATCATACAACAGTTATCTAGCCAGGTTCTACAAAATTAAATTGAGGGGGACAAAAAGGAAATCAATTCGGTTTTGATAAATTAGACGAGATGGAACATTCCCGCGGCAACAATTTAGCATTGTAGCAGCGTATCTCGAATCGATCTGTCGAAAGAAATATCGGAAAGAATGTGATCTTGACAATTGGTAACTGTTCTATCGCCCAGCCACTGGGAACATACGGTATCTACGGCAGCGCCGTGGTTTACCGCTTTTGTCGCAACGATAGCGGTTGTCTTACAAAGAGATGCATTTTAAAAGTTTTTTTTTTACGACCAATTTAATATGCTAGCTCTAGCTTAGTCCACGGTGTGGAGTAATTCTTTAAAACACGTTATTTTTTTAAGATACATTTATTCTAGTTAAATAGTATATCGAAATTTGAATTGGAGGTTGACAATCATATATTATTGTTAACATATACAATAGTTGCTTTAACGCTGTCTTACGTGTTTAAAATTAGTCTTACACAATCTTTAAATGACTACTTTTTTTACTGGCGTCTTATTTCAATAAAACAGACACTTGTGCTGATTCAAATTAAACTTCGTCGACCGATTTGTCGAACGACTATTTCTTTCGTTTTACAAAAATTAAATTATTCAATTTTTTAATTACATATGTGTTGATGTGTGACTATTGTGCTGTTAGATTATCCATACGCGGAGGAAGATATTAATTTTCTAACACCTTCAGCAAGTATTTCAAAATTTTCTGCCACGAGATTTATTATTCAAATAATATCAGCGTCTACTGTTTGCAGATGTTTTTATATACAGATCCCTTCACCTAGTAGTAGTAGTTTCTATACATTCGCTAAGGCTAATTACCTTATACACTAGCATTACCTTGAACTAACACATAAAGCTATAATTTAACATTTCTTATCGTTATCTTCTATCTATCTAGCGTCTTAATAAAAAGGGTTAGCAGGTTCACTTAAGCTTCGGTTTCAACATCCGAAATTCTCATGGCATAATCACTATCATTTATAAGGCATTTGAAGTCATCAATTCATCAGTTTATCAAATAAATCGCTGTGACGCCACATCGATATAAGCCAGGAGCCATTTTACAATTTGATGCTTCGTGTTTCGGGTGATTGATGCGATCTCTAGCTGTCAGGGCGCCTCTAATAGGGTTGTCAATCGTACTATATTGCACTATTCTACGTACTATACGTACTCTATATATTAAAATACCCGACGTTCCTTTATTTTTTTTTATTTAATAACTAATGTCCTTTACGTAACGTATTCTGTTTTTTGTAACGTATTTACAAAAAACAGAATACCGGGAAACGCGAGAACACCGTTAGTTAATTCTGCAAGGACCCAGTTTCGCCAAATACCAACTACGACGAAACACATAACGCGTAGCAATTTTTTACTTTGACATTATGGACAATCTCCAACTATCACACCGTAGTGTTAAATAATTTTTAAAATAACACATTTCGCGTTTGAAACCGTTAAAGGGTTGTATTTAAATATGTTCCAGTGGCGTAAACTACAGATAGTACTTTTGTTATTTTTTGTGGTATACTATTTATAAAAATACCAATATTTGCTCAGATTATATTGACAACCCTATTCTATAATGACGGACTGCATTTTTCAACTCACGCGTTAGTCGCGTAATTTGCCCGTGGATAAGCTTCTAAATATATTTGCGATGATAATTGGGTGTTCATATTTAGAACTTGAATATGGCCGACTATTACTGAGAGATCAATAACAGACAAGTTAGTCTGTGGTAGTTTGAATAAGTCCTTAGGGCAAATATAGGTACCTATTAGGTTGGAATATAAAGTCTTTTTGTAGCCATTGTGGCTTAGTTTTCATACAAGAACTGAGAAACATTCCGAGCAACTTTAAAGCACCCACGTTATATCCACCCATATAACCTTACCTGATATAATTCAATACAATTTTATCATCGTCCATATTCCAAATAGAGATAAGACATCTCGTCTCATTTTGATTGCAAATATCCCATATTGGTAATTTAATAGCTACTTGTTCTTTTAGTAAATAAAAATTAAAATGGTTTAAAACACGATGTTAAGTACGGCCCGATGACGACTTTCGGATACTGTGCACCAGCCGAAGGGGATGGAAGGGGTTATAAATAAATTGTAAATAACTTAGCTAATACCTTTTGGGTTTAAAACCTTTAAAAGTGTTTTATTCTATTAATAAATTGTATGTTAAATTATAATGCTTTGGTTTCGTAATTAGAGCAAATATACTTGACAAATTCACATTTATTATGGAAGTAATGGAAGGCAGAATAAGTACCTCCAGAACCTGGATCGAGAACTAGGTATACCGCATACTCGTCACTACTAAAAGGGCGTGACAAATCATAAATCAAATATTTATGAATCCCTACGCATCAAATAAATACGGTATTAATCGCTTTGACTTAGTTCCGCTACAATAAATAATACAAATCGATTGAATAGGACTCGCGCAAGAAGGGTTCCGTATATTATTTTTGTTTTGCACAATTGAACGAGAGATGCATATTTCAATAGGTTGAAAAAAAAATCGTCGATGGCGATAGAACCGTGTGGAACATGTTCAAGTCCTGCCCCTATCGTAATTTTTTTCAACTTCAAATGTATTTTAAAATTACAACCAGTTATCGCCCACCTTAATATTGTGATTTATGTAATCGTCCTGTAGTAGGTAAAATTTCAAATATGTATGTATGTCTAGATATAACATCGCAGTTCTTGAGTAATAGCTTGGTGGCAAAGGAACTGCCGGCTACGTCTTACTCTATAGTCCCGTTTTTTGGTGTGTGTACGGAACCCAAATAAAGTAGTAAACAACCATCAAAGTATTTGGGAAAGTTTCCACTTTGATAGTAATTAATGATCATGCGCTTAGTAAATTGTGTAACAAGCCCAACGATTTGTTCCAGCTGCAACGGAACTTGGAGATAAGTTGTGAATACTTATTTAAAAGTCGGAGGTTATAAATCATCGTAGTCCATAGTAGTATGTTTTCTACTTCTTGCCTGTCAACTGCCTGTTATTATTGTTGTTAAGATAATTAAGTTATCTTGTAACCGCTGTTAGTTTTTACCCTTCGTTACGTTATCTAACACAATAAAACATCAATCATCAAATCGTCAATTATTAGAAATGAAATAAAAACCGTTGAATGTGTTTTTTTAGTATGTAAGTACCGTTGACGTAAACTCCACACAATGCTTCACAAAAAAACTATTTAAATAAAACGCTTTAACGGTTTAAAACGCGATATATAATCGTTAAACTTATTTATTATTATTATGTAAATTATTTGCAGCATTCACAGCCGTGGTCACGGGGAGACAGACAAAGTCTCTCCGTGACCACGACTGCTGCAAAGCATCCGAAACGTTGGGTTATATTTAAAATATTTTTCAAATAAGTTAAAGTTATATATATATCGCGTTTAAAACCGTTATAATGTTATATTTAATTGTTACTACTCGAGTAAACTACAGACAGTATAAAAAAAAAAACTACAAAAGTATGGAGCGTTCAAGTAGTTGTTAAGTACTCTCTTCCAAACAACCCTATTTCGTAAAAGTTCAAGAAACTACAGAAAGTACAAACGAATCAAAATAGATTTAAAGCCTTTATATAAACTATTTTGCATTATAACAGCTAACATTCGTGTTATTGTCTGTTAGTTGCATTTGCTGTTTTCTATATGTACCCCATTCCCTATACTGTGTTTATCTCGTCTATTTGCCGAGCAAACGCGACAGTTTTAATTTAGTTTATTACACGAAAAAGTCGAGACCATTCTTCGATTAGTTATCACTTACGTGCGACCACGAAAGCAATCTATCGCACGACACAAAATAATAAGCTTCCGCGAAGCTTTCTACTAATTGTATAATTTGAGAGAAAGTCTAGAAAACAGACATTAGCGCGACGTGACCATCGTCCTTGACTGAGAACTCCACGAAACCAGGTCAATGAGGTCATTGGGATCATGTACGAGCGTTTCCAGCGACTATGTACTATATTTTCTAATAATCTTACACTACATATTACTAATACTGTTCAAATTGTCATAATTCTTATGTCATCTGTCAACTTATCTTTTTTGCAAGAAAATGGCGCGAACAATTAAACATGGCGGAAGTTAACTAAAATTCTAACCTAAAATTGCGTGTTTAACTTGAAAAAGAACCTGTTTATTGCATTTTTTACGGTATTTAATTGCATTTAATATTTTTATTGTTTAAATTAGACAATTTTATAATAAATCTGTAAAACCGATAACCAAACTGACTCTTAGATATTAAAACATTTTTATTTCACGAATATATTATTCCTGTTTTCTTTAAAATAAAACATAAAGTGCTAAACTAATTAACGTAAATTTAAAAGCGGAAACGTTGCATCAGCGTGTTAATGAAGTTTATAAAAAGTTTTGGGAAACGTAAAGCTTTACGGTTTTATCGTCCACTAGCTGTGACTGTGCCTTCGTCCGCGTAGAATATTTTTCGAACCAACAATTGTTTCTCATCTTTATGAATTACAGACGTGACCCACAACGTCGGTCGCGTCCCGTTGTTTTTACGAGTTAATCTTAAAAGATAGTCATATACTGTTTCGGAGGTTTTTCGGTATATTAAACCGTTTTACCAGCGCACGTAACGGCTTCCCAAAAAGTCGAGTAATATTCCCCGTGTTTCCCACTATTCCCTCTTTTTCTTCGCTATTATCAGTCGCGGCGTGATGTTTTACAGCCTAAAGTTTTCCTCGAAAAATGTTCTAACGAACACAAAATTTTCGATTCGGACTAGAAATTCCTGAGATAGCGAAACAAACAAACTCTTCAGCTTTATACATTAATATAGATGAATGTAAGCAGATATGTAAAATACGAAATATCAGTTCGAAACGGTAAATTGATCCGTTATTCAAGTGCAGGTTGCAAGTGTAACGCGCGATCTAAGTGTCGTTAAGATTGATGCAAATGTACATTAAGCTGCTCCCTTACCATGCATCTCGTGTATAATAGCGCCTGGACTCCGCCCCCGTATAGACGTGGTAAAAAACCTTATTTATATTATGTAGAGTGGCTGAGAAAGTTGGCGCCTACGACACGTTTTAATAATATAACCGAAAGGCGAAATATACCAGACATATGACATGTAAACAAGACGCGATGCTTACCTGTTTTGGCTTTAGATATTTGGAAATCAGACTGAAATCGAAATGCGATTAAACTTGACGGCTCCCATGGACGGTGGTTCGTGAACTGAACGGAATGTCGATATTCCTACCAGTCACCTAATATCCAGATTTTCAGACGACGTCGAAAATGTTTCAGAAGAATTAAATATTGATTACAAAAATGTTAGACCTAGTTGATCGAACCTATATACAATGATCTCCATAAGCAACAACGCTAAAATATATAGGTATTTATATTTGACATAGAAATTACGTCAACATCATTTTATTTGTAACGGGCTTGTATTGGTATCAATGGGCCTGTACATATTTATCTTTAATAAACATGGTTAATTTTAAAAATAGATGGGCGTTTAACATGTTAGCATACTGTGACAAACTAACTAGTTTTATAAATTAAGCCAAGTTAAATACTGTCTATAGTTTACGCGAGTAGTACACATTTAGATAAAACACTTTAACGGTTTAAAACGCGATATATTAGTTAAACTTATTTGAAAATGATTTTTAACTTCGGCCCAATAAAATATAAATCATTTTCAATTAAGTTTAACTAATATATCGCGTTTTAAACTGTTAAAGTGTTTTATTTAAATAAGCCAAGTTAGTTTGTACAAATGATATAAGTATTTTTCAGTGTACTAATGAATACTTTTATTGCAGTTTCGTATTAAATCCTCTGACACCGGTTCAAGAGACGCGCTGTTTGCTACAAAACGACACACAAGCAAATAATCCGATGGCCACACCACAGGTATGCTCATAAGGCGTTAAACAATTTGCCATTGAATACTATCTTAACAAACATGCACTGTCTTTAAAATAAAAGAATCATCAATCAATTAGTACTGAATCTTGTCACATTCATAAGTTATATAAAGCCCTTATAACAGTTTAAAACACGTTACTTAAGAGCAGCCATAACGTAGTCTTAGTCAAACTAATTAAGTATTAAATGTCGCTTTATAACAATAATTAAATATGTCTTGTAAAAATATATTTTAGTAATAAGCGTGAAAACACATAAAAACTTTGTTGGTTTAATATATTTTATGTAAACTCTCTCTCTACTCCCGCGTCCAACAAATTAATATAATACTACGATATACTTTCTACTTGTATCAGTATAATTGCTAAAGTAACTCAAAGCTTCCCAGTTATAAATCTACCGCGAACTTGTGCTTATTTCCTGGACGTCGTCGTCTTTAGCCTTATCCTATAACCTGTAGGCTGAATCCAAGATAGTAGTGGAGACACCTAAGCGACCCACACGAAGAATACAAGATCACAAGATGGATTTTATCGAGGCACGCAAAGTTGTCACGCGTTAAGATAAACCATATAAATTCATTGATAAAATCGAGTACGGTAGCTCTCTGCCAATTAAAGCAACGCGGTATCTAATTAACAATTCAGATTCGATCGGTCAGAGTCAGTGGGACTAGCCCAACTAGTCTAGATGCTAAGTTGCGTACGATACTTCCGGTGGTTATATTTATGTACAGACGTTTGAATTTTTAAAATAAGCTTGTTTTAATAGAAAAGTATATTAACGATGACAACTAATCGTGTAATTAATTCAATATCGAACAGAATTTAAAATTATACTTGTTAACTCAATGATAGATAAATATTGCAAACTGAGTAGGTGATAGTAACGTTATACATTCATTAGATTTCACTTCTCTAATCTTGTAAACTGTTCTACGAAGCCTTGTTATATATTACTATTAAACAAAACCTAATCTACAGTAGTAGAGTTGAGTACATTAGCCATGGTCGTGGAAGATCGCGACTGGTTTTGTTTAACTTATTGACAGTTCGCGTTTCCATTTATTTTATTACTTTATCATAGCATTATGAATAAAAAATCATTTTTTCTCGGTAATTTACACAATAATACAGCAATTACTAGATAATGAAAAGGATAAACCACTTAACTTGTGCCGATTTACAGTGGCCTCCGCGTGACAGCTTTGAGCTTTTGACAGTAACAAATTAAAAACATACACGTGATGTGAAAAGTATAATTTTCATGTCACTAGATGGAGTTCTATATACTTATTTGTTAATTTAAGCAATCCTTTCTTACAGCGCTCCGTAAACACTTACTACATGGTGAAGTTGCAAGTGAGGACAGAGAGTGTTTGCCTTAGGCCCTGGGCGTTCGAGCGAGTGCCGGGCAAAGCCCTCCGAGGCTTAGACAATACTATAATCTACACCTCCACAAAGGAGGCCTGTCTCGCTGCCTGCCTCAATGAGGTAATGAAACCAGTTTACAAAAATTACTGCCATGGTTCCATGAGCAAACTCGTGCTGCGATCATTTCTCCTTTTATGTAAATATAGCTTCAGTATGGTAGACGAGAATAAACAAGCATAGTGGACCATGCTTGACTGTCCTCCTTTATCATTACAAAAATGGCGTTCACCTGTCGGTTGGTGCAATAGCTCAGCCATATAGCATCCCAACAAGATGCGAGGATATTCAGAAATCCAACGAAAGAAACCCAAACGCGAACTCCAAGGCTTTTTCATCTGTTGACGTGGCTTGCGAACCAGACGGAATTTCGATATTCCTACCACTAATTTAATATCCAGATTGCCAGACAAAATCTTCACATGTTCCAGAAAAATATAGATTGTATTAGAAACTTGAGGAACCTGATAGCGATCGAATATGCGACCCGTTGATTATTAGCCATACATTACTACCAGCTATCTATCAATTTCATATAAGCTTTCGTCCCACTTATAAGAGGATAGAGAAAATGTTTGTCCATCGAGAGCTCTGGAAAGTGGAGTAATAATTAACGGGAAATCTGATAGTTTAGACATTTTATGATGTTCTAATACCGTCTTCAATTTATACTTATTAGAAGACGCGTCTCAAATTACTTAATAGCGTAATAAAGTGGAGATTATGATGACAAATTTAAATGCTTTTCATTGAAGTTCTCCTGAGTGGTTATTATCTACCTTATAGATAAACATTTACGTTTCCTAATGAAGTATCGGTTACAGAAAAAGTTCCCGTGCCGCTCAGCCGAATATGAGTATGGAAGCATGAGGTGTGCTCTCAGTGACTCTGATAGGCGAACAGCGCAACACTTCGTCCAGCTTGTCGACACTCCAGGGACTGACTACTTTGAGGTATTATTTAAATAAATTAATTAGAAAATTATTTATAAGAATTTTAGGTAAAAGACAATTTTTTACCATTTCATTTTTGAGGGTACAACCTTTTACTCATATTGTTTGCCATAGTTAGATAATTGTACAACTAGGTGCCAACAAGTAGTTATTTACCGTTAAGTTATTTTTTTATTTAAACGTTCAAATCACTAACCTTAAATTAAATGAGAAGTAAGAATTATAGATAGTTAAAAACTGCACAATTATTTTAAAGATTTGTCAATTACACATGAATTATAACAAGACATTGTAATTCATCTACAAAATTAAAGTTTTTGTTTTGTAAAGTACTACAAAGCGGGGCAACACAATTATACAGGGTTTTTAAGGCCTTAATCCATTCAAAAACTTCTCATAATTCAATATTAAATTGTAAATAAAATTGTATTATTTATATAAATACTCTCTTAATGCAATTTAGTATTTCCTTCGTGTACTTAGCCTAACATGATACGTTTAACAGCGCAAATAACGGTGCGATTTCGTAGTAAATTCAATTCCCAGAACTCTTTACATTTCAAATCGTTAGGCGTTGTTGCGAATAGTAGTGTTCTGGGCTATTTGTTGTATTTTAAGTGTGTTTGTGTGTGGTCGTGCAGAATTTGTGCCTGAAGGCGTCTCAGGCGTGCAAGGGGCCAAGAGTGTTTACCGCGCCGCGTGTGGGTGTCGCCGAAGACAAGGTGGCTCAGTACGCTGGTTTGCACTATTACACGGATAAGGAACTTCAGGTAATAAGGAAATAATAATAGACTAAGATAAAAAATAAATAAAACAATACACATACCCTTTATTGATAGATGCTAATAGTATAAAGCCGAAAGTCTAAGTAGTTACGATGTTCTTGTTTAACTTTAAAGTCTTTGTGAAAAAATATCCTTTTATTAAAACACTTTTAACGGTTAAAAACGCGGAATGTATTCTTTGCAATTTGTTTTAATTACGACTCAACGTTTTAGATGCTTGGCAGCAGCCGTGGTCATGGGGTTGACCACGGCTAAAACTTACGAACAGTTCTATCTAGATTTTTTTCACTACTATTTTTATTAAATTTTTCATCCATTGTTTTTTTTTCATAACATCAACAATTATATTATATTTGATTTAATCCATACACTAGTCTCGTTTGGTTAGTTTTTGTTTTTGGATTAACTTCAGATTTGGATTCGGATATTGAAACAATGTACGTACCATAACACTTTGCCATACATTTGTCGTTCCGCAACTTCTGAAAAAAGCTAAGCCAAAACTGATAATTTGATATGAGTTGTAGATGTCAAACCATAAAATTCTTACTCGTGTATGAACGTCTAGTTCTCTCACAGTAGACTTTGATACAAAGAAAAGGTGACAGTTCTTAATTAAAGTTTTATTTCATTCGAGTCTAGCGACTGGGGCATTTTTATTGTCTGTTGTTACAAGACTTGCAATAATGCTAAGTAGTTTTTTATTTGCATAATTTCATCTTCGTCGGAGCGTTTTGTTTTTCTTTGAAAACGTAATTCAGGTTTGTGGTTGAGAGATTATACGATAGACGATTAAAAATCAAGCCTTTTATAGTTACAAATAACAAGTATAGAAGTGTTTTTAGTTAAGAGCTACCAAAAGCTCTGAGCTAATGAAAACCCGAATAAATAAATAAAATTGGTTAACTAGAGAAAGGAAACGAGAAATAACTCTGCATCATCTTAACTAACTGTATATTATAAAATAAAATAAATTAAAAGTTAGGGGTTGTAAGAGACTAATAAACACTCACCTTCGCATTGTAATTTCAGTTGTTTTCGAAAAATATTAGTACAGTTATTAAATACTGTCTGACATTTAGGCGAGTAATATACATTTAAATATATCGCGTTTAAAACAATTAAGTTATTTATAATTATTTAAAGTACGGCCCGACGCACAGATCGTGTCGTGTTGAGTCGTGGTCACGGGGGAACTGAAGATGGACGGTGTCTCTAATGGTAAAGCCAAATTAGCTACACTAGCGCCATCTGTATAAATGTATCTCAAATGGTTTTTATCTACTATGTCTTTACATTTAGTATTTTGGAATTAAAACGTGCTATATATCAACAGGTGACTTCTGAAGCCGCATGCCGTTTGGCCTGTGAAATAGAGTCGGAATTCCTCTGCAGATCTTTCCTATACTTGGGAGCGCCTCACTCGTCTATATACAACTGTCGCCTCTACCACCTGGATCACTACACCTTACCTGATGGACCTTCAGCATATCTGAACGCAGAGAGACCTTTAATCGATGACGGAGAACCAATAGGGAAATATTTCGAGAACTTCTGCGAGAGTGAGTACTAGTAATTTATAGTTATTTAATATATTCGTTTATAATTATGTCGCTTAACTGAAAGACGAAGAGTTTGTTTGAACGCGCTAATCACTACTAGTTTGAAGTGAAAAAATATTTTAGTGTTGGTTGGACCATTTATCTATGAACGCTTTAGGTTATAAAACATTAGGCTACAATAGCAAAGGAAACAGGTGGAAATTTACGAAAAACGGGGAAAATTATTCATCTTTGAGGGCAAAAGAACCTCAGCTAGTATTAAGCATAAACTACTTGCTGTGTCGTGAAAAAATATTTTCTATTCAAGCTTTTCTCAGGATAAAGTCGCGAACGAAAATAACTCCAGCATTTCAATTTAATATAAAAAGTCTTGTAATAACTTCATAGTGGTTAGCAATTACCAGACAAATAAATGTATAGAAGGCACAGCCGTCACTTGTTTCTGTAAATTGCTTTTCTGCGTATAAATCGACGTGGTTAGTGCATTTAAGGCATAAAGACTTATATCGAGAATAACGATTATATTATTCTGCATTCAGGTTTCATTTAAAATTAACTTTTTAAACACACATATATGTACGAACATACATTATGCGTTGTCTAATGTAGGTTGATATGTTTTATAACTGTAGAGTAAGTTAAAATTAGGTATTCAGTGAAATTGTAATTTAATTTGATAGACTGAGGTATTACTATTTTAAACGTTATAAATAATTAACGCGGACAGGACTTGAACCCAAAACTTAGGACCGTGTTTGTATGCATTTAATATAATACATTACAAATTGCTGCTTATTTTATTATATAAAAAGTTAATATAGTTTGTAACACTTTTACCTAAAAGAGTACTATATAAGTGTATCATATATTTAAATAAAACACTTTAACAGTTTAAAACGCGATATATTAGTTAAACTTATTTGAAAATGATTTTTAACTTCGGCCCGACGTTTTGGTTGCTTTGCAGCAGCCGTGGTCACGGGGAGACTGGGCCGAGGTTAAAAATCATTTTCAAATAAGTTTAACTAATATATCGCGTTTTAAACCGTTAAAGTTTTTTATTTAAATTTTATACTACTCGCGTAAACTATAGACAGTATGTCGCATATATGTCTTCATATAGATTTAGGTGTGAACTTGCAAACTTATGATCCTAAATTAGACATAGTATAATTTATTCGTTTCGAAAGGTGCAGTAAATTCACTGGCAATTAATGTCAGAACCTGTTACCAATAAACTAATCATATATTAATTGTCTGCGTTCAGCAGGGGACAGAAATCGTTTAATATTTTGCCCACGACAAACCCGGACGTTCTTCTGAATCATATGCATAAGGGAAAACGTGATTATAATACAATCACGCGCAGGATAACGTTTATAACTATCAATCTTTCTATGTGCTTATATTTGAGGTATTAAATTTAAGTAACGCCAAATTAAAGATTCTTAATTAACAAATAGTCGAACTGGAGGTTCGATTTTTAAGTTTATGTCATCGCTATTTTTTTATTAATTAAAAGGTAATATGTTGTACTGTTAACAGACAGACACTAGTTTTTTATTATAACATAAATATTCGGTCGGTCAGAGCACATAAACAAGGGAGACGAGATTATAGACACGTGCCAAGTATTATGTTCAACAGATTAATAGTATTAAAAAAAACCTTACCGGTTTAAAACGCGATATATATTAGTAAAATTTATGAAAATTATTTTAATTACGCCCCGACGTTTCGGATGCTTTGCAACAGCTGTGGTCGCGGGGAAACAGGTAGACAATATACACTCGCGTAAACTACAGACAATATTTACATTAATAGCACTTTTTAAACAATAACCTAGTACTAAAGAAGTTTTTTTTGTTTATTTAGTTTTTTACAATCTTTTGTAATTACATTCGAACTTTGATTATCCGCTACTCGGATTAACAATGGTATTACCAGAGTAAGTGCGAAATATGTAAATCCTAATAATAGCGTAATTTCTTCATAACATTAACGGATGTTAATTGCAAAAGCAATGCAGACTACATTAGAGAACTTCTCACCTACGTGGGTCGTGGGAACGTTCTTTTATGACTTATGAATGTAAGATTTCTGTTTTTCTTTGTAAGATTAACGAATAACTAATGTGGGACTGTTACGAGCTTTGCTAATTGTCTTTACATATTGAGATAAGTCTAGAAAACTTTGGATGTTCGGAAATCCGTAGATTGAAACCGAAACGCGATTAAACTGGACGGATTTTCATCTGTGGACGGTTATTCGTGACTCGGAGTTACAATATTCCTACTATTATTTAATATCCAGGAATCCAGATGAAGTCCAACATGTTTCAGAAAAAATATAATTTGATCAGAATAGTTTAACACCCAAAGCTATACATAATAATAGTAATATTAATTTATTTTTCAGACCAAAATCCATTTCTTAAAATTAATTAATTCTAATGTGTGTTAGTTGCGTTAGTAACAATTTTTAACTTAAAATGTATATTAGAATGTGTTAGTCACTAAAATTAAGTAGACTGAATGAAATATACAGTGTAGGTGCTAGGCGCTAAGGGGGAGCATGGACGTCGCTCCATCGTTTTAGCAGCACCGTATACTTTTCACACAATGCCCCCAGAATGCCATTGGTGCTGTGTCGAACTCGATACATGAGGAAAGCTACACGCTTGCGGATGATGGCGTGGAAACCATCCGTGCGTGCATCCGCAAACATGCCCGACGCACTACAGTATCTTGGCAAGCCCAATAACAACCTGAAAACATTATTGTATTGCACACGATAGGCATTCAATGCTCTCTGAGTAAAGGAGGCCCATAAGCTAACGTGTAACGTTAAGAAACACCTCAAACAGTAGTTGAATCTTCGTATTAAATGTTTAATTGCGCTTTTGTTTCTGAATAGACAATTAAGTTGATTCGTTAATGTCAAGTTCAAATCGAGGCTAACGTTGAACCCAGGTTAATTAAATCACTTAACGATCGCAAATCAATTCCCCCTTAACTCTACTGTGAATATAAATTATTGTTGTTTTAGATTTAATGACAATTTACGCCAGTAAACGCGGTTATAATACAATCATGCGCAAGTTCACTTCCCTATCTTTAATATTTTTATATATATTATTCACGTTATTCAATACCAATTAAATAAAAAGGTTTAAATAAAAAGTTACAGTTGGTTCGGCGTTAAGTGTAATATCTTTATATATCCAAAGCGACCAAAGCCAAAATAGTACATCTTTGTATCCGATCATATGGTAAATTAAAAATATTGCCTGTAAATAAAATAAATTCATATAGGCTAAAATACTGTTTGTAATTTACGCGAGTAATACACATTTAAATAAAAAACTTTAACGGTTTTAAGCGCGATATATATTAGTCCATTATTTGTCCCCCCGTGACCACGGCTGCTGCAAAGCATCCGAGTCGTCGGGCCGTAGTTAAAGTTTAACTAATTTATATCGTGTTATAACCGTTAAAGTGTTTTATTCATAAAGGCTTGTTTTAAACCTTTTTGAACTGGATGTTGAAGAGATATGTTTCCTATTCTCGTATATCTTGTATTAACATAGTATCATACTTCAGTTACTGTTAACTGCATACCTAATTGCGTATTAAGGCATTCCGTAACAGGCTTTATTATATAGTATATTCTAGTTCCGCTAAGTGAACTTGTGTAGCTACTCCATTACGTGAGCTTGCCGTCTCTCGGCTGAGATTGGCATCTCGCGGCGACCCTATTTACGTAAGCTCGCACACAAATCCGTATTCAATACCGTTACAACGAATCCAATCCCTAGAATTTCGAATAATGAGAAACGTAATTGCAATAACACGCCAGATTATCTAATATCGGTAATCAATAGCGAGCGAAATCGAATGTATGATTGCAAATTGATGAAATTAGTGATCAATAGAGGCATCCCACCCCGCTCCACGTACACATAACTTCGTTATGTTTACAATGCGATATTGTTGAGTCACGGCTCCAGTTGCATTCGGTGCAAAAAGTGATAAAGAGAACGACGGCGGTGGGCTGCGCGGGCGTCGGTCGGTCGTGCGTGCCTTGTAACGGTGGCGGTACACGAAATTGAAAAGTTTTTGCGGCTGTTTCTTGGCTCAGTTCAAGTCTATTTTGATTGTAATTGAACGGATGGTGTCGGCTCGAATTATGTTGTCTTTTGTGATAGAGGAGGACACAAGCGTAGGGTTGATGGTAGATATACCCCCATTGTATAACATCTACATTATTTGTGCTGTAAATCTATTTTGGCTTTGGATATTATCTGGCACAACCGATTGATTATTAACAACACATTGCTGTGTGTCTGCGCACATTTCGTGTTTGATAACTGAAGACATCAGGGCTGTCTGCTCTTTACGCGAGTGGCACACATTAGATTAAACACTTCAACGGGCTGAAACATGAAGTTTAAATAGTCGGAAACAAAGAATGTTAATAATTATTTCGCATTTAAATCTATAAAGCAACATAGGTTCAAGTACCACAACTATCACAGTTCAATTGTTTTCAACTCGAAGTACATATATAAATTGTTTTTAGATATACATATATGAATATAAAATTAAATACTAAAATGCAAAAAGTTGTTCATAAGCCTAAAAATACAATTTAAAAGCGTTAATTGAAAAAAGCTAACATAACCTCAAACTTGATTTGGATGTAAGTGATAAAAATAGTGAAAATAATTTGGTACCCATCCCCCCATTTACCATAGTGGACACTTGACATGCCAACAACTATTTTTAGCTGCATGTTTACATAGAGTTACGTGAAAGATATTCGTTAAACAGGTTTTCGCCTCGTGCTTACTGTGCTAAGCACGCATTGCTAAATTAATAGTTTAAGCTGTTGATCGCAGCGGTTAATAGGGTAAATATAACGACCTTGCGTGGCCTTGCTAATATAAGTTGAGAGGACGTTGCCCCCTCTTTGTAGGTACTGCAGTATTCATCTACGGCAGTGGTTCAACGCGTGTTGGTCGTAAATTTCAAGAAATTGTTGGTTCTAGACCGTGCCAATATATTTAGTGTTTTTTCTCGCTCGTGTCGAATATACACTTAGCACTTTTGTTGCACGACTGGACATCGAACTGCCGGCCTGTTGAACACGTCGAGTGTTTGTAACACTTGTTATGGCACTATATAAATTAAAAATCGATTTTAGACTGAAAATTAATTGTTGTAATTTTTTTCAATGTAGATTTTTAATTTAACATTTTTCTTATTTATTTTTTAATTTCCATACATTTCTCTGTTACACAATGGATCAACACACCACTGAAATAAAATCAGATGTTTTATTTATTATATATTATATAATTTATTTCATTTTTTAGGATGCACCTTTATATTATATACTTACTCTTACTATAAAATTGTAATCGATTGGTGTTTCTGTTATGTTTCTTTCTTGAAATAAATAAATAAATATAGTTTAAAAAAGACATAAGTTATAAAATGTACTTATATGTAACAAATAGTTAGGTATTTACTCAAATATATTGTATAATTTGCAATGTAACTGCATAGTGATAACATAAATAATATAGCTCACCTTTTAGCTAAATATCCAACGGTAGATATCTAACTTGTTTGTCTAGAGACCAGTTAAGTAGTTTATTGGGACCGTTAGTACTTTCTGATTGTTATTGCGAGTAAAATGAGCTATTTCTTCTATAGTCACACTGAAGTATCCATTCTGTATACAAATGTATAAATATCGTTTGAATGAAATTCTTCGTAATTGTGCCCGTCAAAAGTGGGTTACTAATAACGAATCTACAAAGCTAATTGCACTACAATAGGTCTACCTTCGTTTAATTCAGCTATACTAATATATAAAGCTGAGGAGTTTGTTTGACGCGCTAATCTCAGGAACTACTGATTCGAATTCAAAAATTATTTTTGTGTTATAAGAGCATTTACCGAGGAGGGCTATAGGTTATAAAACATCGCGCTGTGACTAATAGGAGCTTTAAAAAAGCGGGAAATATGGAAAAAACGGGGGAAATTATTCATCTCTGTGGGATTCCGATGCGTTCGCTGCGAAAATGGTTCAACATACCCACAAAATATGTGAAAGAGTGATTTCTCTTTAAATGATCTAAAAATATGTCTGCGACACTATGTCTATCTTTTAAGATCAACTTGCGAGAACGACGGGACACGACCGACGACATGGGTAACAGCCTTTTATAAAGATATATAATTTATAAAGATTTGTGATTGCTACCCTCTGCAAAAACAAATTTGGATGCCCACAATAACTATACTACGCGGACGATGTTGCTGGCGCAGCTAGTATATAATATAATATTAGAATCTCTATTCTGTAGTTTACATAAGTAAGTTAACTGGAAATATCGTATGAATGAAATTTTTCGTAACTGTGCCCGTCAAAAGTGGGTTACTAATAACTAATAAAGCACTACAATAGGTCTACATTCCGTTCAATTCATGAATAGATAAATCCATAACCTACGATCTGTGAGCGAGAAATCTAACGGAAAGTCAATTTAATCCAAGAAACGAGATAATGGGTTTTGTAAAAAGTTCGATCAGCTTTAGAAGCAGAGGATAGCCTACTTAGCTCGGGCAATTTCAAAAGGCTGTTCGGCCACGAATAAAAGCAAAACGAGATACTTATAAGTTATTATTTCAAGAAAAATGTGAGTTTTCGAACACCAATCGATAGATCGTGACTGGATCCTATTGCTTTCTTGGAAAATATTTTTTAAGCGGAATCATTTTAATTGTCTGTACTCATATTATGAAGCTGAAGAGGTTGTTTGTTTGGACGCGCTTATCTCAGAAACTGCTGGTTAGAATTGATGTTTTTTCGTGTTGGTAGGACCATTTATAGAAGAACGCTTTAGTCTATAAAACATCAGTGTGCGACCAATAGGAGCGAATAAACAGTAGAATATACTTCATATGGCAAATAAATATGCCAGGTGAGGTAGTCTATAGGTACGTGTGAAAGTGGGCTTGTTCCATTTTCAAATCTTAGTTAACTTGTACAAAGGTTATTTGAAAATGTAAAGCGTTAACATACTCTTAAATCTTACAATTTTACGCCAAAGTTTTGCTAAATAAATTATTACAGTAGCCTTTGTATTTAAAACGAAATTCTATCTCTCTTCTTTACTCTTTCATATTTGATATATTCCATACATCTTATTTTCCTATAATTATTTAAAGTAACGTGCGAGGGAAACTTCACTAGATAAACAATAAAATAAATCCATATTGTTTTGTAATGGAAATAGTAGGATTTGTAAATATAAACTAGAAATATTCATTCTTGGAAACTAAAATAAGATATTATTTATGCACGGAAAAAGCATTAATACAGTACTTTTATCTTCCAAATCTAGCTTAAAGTTAGCAATATTCAAAATAATAATCTAAAGCGTGGGAAAATTCATGTAAATTACTGAAGCGTTACAACGTCAGTTCATCGACTTTCCGTTGAATGTCCATACTTTATGCATTAACAATCAAAGAAAACTCCATTTATATTACCTAGACTGTATTTACAATTTCATTGTAAATACTTAGAAGGAAAGTTGAAAGGATTATAAAATGGTTCCAAATTTAAAAAATAATAAGGCGTTCTTTATTAACGCGTAGTGTTCATTTAAATAACGTTTTAAAACGCGAAATGTATTAGTTAAATTTATTTACACATTGTTTAAGTATTTTGTAAATCAGTACAATTAATACACTAGGTGTTTTAAACCGTTAAAAGGGTTTCGGTCTGTTGTCAAAAACTGTGACCGATGCGTTTCTATCGCCGGTCACGGGTCATTCACCCCGAGACTATGACGAAATTAATTGTATTACCATCGATATTAGTTCAAGACATTAATTTTTAAAGGTGACAAACTCAACAAATCGTAGAAAAGATCGCTGATCTCTAGATTTTTTTAAAAATTTCAATAAAATAAGGACAACATATTTATTTATATAGTTTGAAAACTCATATAACATCATACATACACATAATAATAATTCGATACTTAGAAAAGAATATTACTTAAATTTAAAATTTGTGAAGACCTATGTTGGGAATACGGCGGCCTGTCTTTTGAAGATGCTCCTATGACGTCATCCGAGTAAACACAAATTGTTTAAAATAATGTTCAACGACGTGATAAAATGTATAAATGTATTTAAATAAAAGACTTTAACGGTTTTAAACGCGTCTGCTCTCTCCCCGTGATCACGGGTGCTGCAAAGCATCGTAAACATCGGGCTGTTAATAAAATAATTTTCAAATAAGTTTAATTAATATATATTGCGTATTAAAGTATTTTTTTAATGTGTACTACTTTCGTAAACTACAGACAGTATATACATTTATTTAGCACAATTAGCGAAATGTTACGGTCCCCGATTTTCCATTAGCGCCGTCGGAATTTACTATTCTCTGACAATACCTATGTAATAACATTCACATACAAAGTTGCACAAACAATGACGCGAAATTATGTTTACTTCTACGGAAATGCTCTAGATACAATAAACAGTTAACTCTGAAACGCAACGTCTCTGTGGCATAATGGTTAAAGAGACATCTGTTAAACGCGAGAGGTACTAAATTGAAATAGAGGGAAAAACATAATATACAAAATTAAAAAACTTTCTTCTCTACTTTGGAAAAGGATTTCTCGCTCTCTCTCTATCTTCTCTATTAAAATGCGCTATAGTGTAGCTTGACTCACGTACTACGTAAAAAGATCTCACATAATATTCCAACAATATATGTATGTACTAGCTGTGGCAGATCCTGTGACTTCGTGCGCGTTTTTGCAATCATCATAACATCTATAGTTGTCACCCACGATGTCCCGTCGTTCGCTTTCTTGCACCTTAATCTTAAAAGGATATTTTTATATCATTTAAAGAGGAATAAGTCTTTCATATTTATTTGAGTATCTTGAACCGTTTTCGCAGCGCAGGCATCGGACACCCACAAAGAAGAATAATTTTCCCCGTTCCACGTTTCCCACTGTTTCTTCGCTCCTATCAGTCACAGCGATATGCCTATAGCCTTCCTCAATAAATGCTCTAACCAACATAAGAAGAATTTCAATATTCATCTAAAAAGGGAAATATATAGAGAAATCCAATAACAAATTTATTTAAGAAATCGTCCCGATACGTCGTTTTATAGTGTAATCATGAAAATCATAGATAACGTATGATTGCGGCGTAATGACATCAGAAATCACAATTTCATATGTTAATGATCGCGCGTCCGCGGTATTAACCCAGAACTAACGTAGTTTGTCGTGTGAAAATATAGTTTCTCGATGCCGCGGCGAGCTTTGCACGTCTGCGTGTAATTGCAGTACCCACGTTACACATATCGGTCGCCGCCATCTTGTATTGATTATTCTCGTATAGGCATATTATGTTAATTGTAAAGATAGATACAATCCTGGCGAATTAGTCGTTTTGCCTAATAAAAACACAATAATGGCATATTCATAAAGACATAACGATGTAGATGCCGGTACAAATCTTGCCTGTGGCGTTGTTTTTTTCTTTCAATCTAAAATCGATTTTTAACTCTTTATTACGAGTACTCTTTTATACCTACTAATATTTTAAGGGTGAAGGCTATGTTTGTTTGCCGCGTTTATCTCAAGAACTATTGGGATGGGACCAAATATTTGAAAATATTTTGCACATGTGCTCATGGTGGCACTGTGTAAATAAAAAATCGATTTTAGATTTTTACGACATCAGAAATCTAGCGTACCGTGCTCTTGCTATAACCAATTGAATTCAAGTCCTGCCCGAAAACATTTTTCAATCTAACATCGATTTTAAATCTACCCTCAATTTGTCAATATTTGTTTTTTGAAGAAATAAATGCTGCCCATCGCAGTAGCCACGTAATGTTGATGGATTATTATGTCAATGTTTAATGGCTTTTATTTTTATAGAACCGCCTGCAAACGCAAACCCGAGTGGCGAGCTTCCGGTCACTATCGAGCATCAGCAAGATACAAACATGTCCAGCAACTTGACTAGAAATGACGCTAATTGTGACAAAACTGGCACATGCTACGATGGTAAGAAATTGCTTCATTATCACTGATATTATAACATTAACTTGTTCGATTAAGTGATCTTATCACAGAAACAACTGTAGCTATTTAAAATTTGTTATTTTTAAAAAATATATTTTTGTTTTTTTATTTATTTAATAGAATGATTGTTCTTTTTTATAAATACATATGAAACACGAACCAATTATTAAATTTGAAAGCTTCCTGTGTGTAGTTTACGCGAGCAATATATCACTTTAATGGTTTAAAACGTGATATATATATTATTTAAAGTTATTTGAAAATTATTTTAACTACGGCCCGAGGTTTAATGGCATGCAGCAGCCGTGGTCACAAGGAGACTCTGCTGCTAACTTCTACTAATTTCCACATAAGTTTCGATAATAAACATTGCGTATTAAACCGTTAAAATATTTTGTTTCATTTCAAAGAGTTTTGTCCTTCTAGAGAATATTAATTATATATCTGTTAAAACTATATATAACGTGACGAGATCTATGTCTCCAATAAAACACAAGTAACACCGCATCTAACAACACTACACACGCCGCTATTTAATATCGACTAATTCGTTTTTTAGTATCAGTCCATTGTAAGGATACAAGGATCGCCGTACAGGTTCGCACAAACAAGCCATTCAATGGAAGAATATACGCCTTAGGACGTTCAGAGACGTGCAACATCGATGTAGTTAATAGCGATCTATTCAGACTGGACCTCACAATGGCTGGACAGGACTGTAATACTCAGAGTGTTGTGAGTATTTAATTTTATAATGTCAGATCACAAACTATGGAACAATGATTACATGGTTTAAAACATATTTAACGGTTACAACCCGAAGTATTTAACTTTACGACCCGACGTTTGGAATACTTGGCATGGGCCATGTAAACACAGGGACGTAATAACTATGGTTTTTTCTGATAAATAAATAATATTTCACTTTTAAACTGACTGATTGATTTTTATATTTATTTATGTAATGGTGACTTATATCCCAGTGTTTATCCTAGCTTAAAAGAAATAAGTGTACTGTATAATATGAATGTTAACAAACAATATATCAAGAGAAGTAATAAAAAATGTATGTCTACATCATAAATTACAACTGAAATTGTAACTGTTCGGAGGAGGAAAGTCCATTTATTACCATAAAAAATACATTTTAATCATTATTAGTCGTAGTTTTTCACATTTCTACTCATTTAACATCAAATAATTTGACAACAGTAGCCCGAATAAGACGTTTAAAAGTTTGTATTAGGATTATAGCTAATACAATGTTTAAAACAAATATTAATTTTATGCTAGCTGATTATCTTTTATGTTAAAATGTGTGATTTCAGACCGGGGTCTATTCAAACACTGTAGTCTTACAACATCACAGCGTTGTGATGACAAAGGCCGACAAGATATACAAAGTGAAGTGCACGTACGACATGAGTTCAAAGAACATAACATTCGGAATGGTGCCTATAAGGTTAGTAACCGTACAACGACATAAAATCGCCTTAATATGGAAAAAATCATCTCAACTTTCCCCGCTATCATTTTCCGTTATACAACGTATTAGGCTTCACTCCATTCCTACGTTAACTTGTTTGACAAAACCGTTCTAACAATGGTATTTGTAATGGTCAAAGAATTTATTTACGATACAAAAATGTGTGTTTGTGGGTGTAATGTGTGTGTAGAGCGGGTTAATGTGTGTGTTTCGTTTACACAAATACGGCCATAAATGGGATTAGGCCTGTTTCTTGCATTATACATGAACCACTTAAATTCTTTGATTCTATATGTGACGCGAAAAGGAAATATGTCTATCTACTTATTTAGAGGAAAATTTTGTTTACAAATAAAGGGTTATACGCTGTGTCTATACATTACGGGTGATACAAATTAAATATACATTTTTTTAAACACTGTCTGTAGTTTACGCGAGTAGTAGACATTTAAAGAACACACTTTAACGGTTTAAAAAGCGATATAAATAAGCTAAACTTATCTGTAGCAGCCGAAGCGTCGGGCCGCAGTCAAAACAATTTTCAAAAAAGTTTAACTCATATATATCGCGTATTAAACCGTTAAAGAGTTTTATTAAAAAAATAACCGTTTATTTCGAAACCAATTTAAGCTCTATGAGAATTAATGTAAGTCTTTTAAACGTGAATTAAGCTCATGCGTTAGATAATTTTTAACTACGATCCGTCGACGTATTATTAAAAAAATAACGAAGCCAAGTAGGAAATGATCTAAAACAGGTGGTTCACCACGCTTAAGCAGCTAGTGTGTTATTAGTCAATCGAGAATCTTGTAAAAATTGCAAAAATAAAATGGCCGACCGTATCATGTCGTTAGATACCTCTAGGCCGCTGTAATAGGAAGTAGCAAAGTGGTGTTTTATGTTTACAACAGTTAATTATACGAGAGCCTACATACTTACTGCTCCGTAATTGCTACAAGTTATTGCTAACAGTAATCGTATATTATTATTAGGATAATATAAAATTTGCACTTCGGAAACGGGCTATCTATTTGCCGTTCTGTTTCGTGAGCCTTTAGTTATCAATGTTTCCAGTCTAAATATATATTGGTGTATTTAGTTCGCTGGTAACAGAAAGGAACAGCTTGCTAAAATTTTAATTTTTTTCACGTGTCGAATACTCACAAAAAATGTTTGTTGCACGACTGGAGATCGAACTATCAGCCTATTGAACACGTCGTGTGCAACACTTATGATGACTTTAAAGTAACTAAAAAAACTTTTGAACCGGCATCTGCATTTCTAATAAGGTGAAAAAACTCGACGATGACGTGTATGATACGGTAGCTTAATTGGATAGAGCAAGAAGTACGGAACTCTGTAGATGCCACATATCATAAATTGACTATTGTGATATGTTCGAAGTATTTCGGAAAAATTATTTAAAATAGAACATAGTGAAAAAATGTTACGTAAATTCTACCAAAAAATATTTTCTCCCATATAAATAAAACACGTTTAATGGTTTAAAACGAGTAAGAGAGAATAAGCCGTGGCCGCGGTTGATATAAAGCATCTAAAATTTAAGAAATCCAAATCAGAATTTTGCATGTCAGGCCTAACTGAACCTTGCTCCATTTTTTTTACTGTTGGTGTGAATGCATAAAGCACGCCTACGTCGGGCAAGAGTGACGTGGGGAGTATTTGTAAATTATATTATAACCAGCTCGCTGTGGTGCTTTGATCGTTCCTCCCTAACTTACTTCAATTATCAAGGTATATAATAAAATTTGGTTATTATTTCAGAGACCCAGAGATGATTTCTATCACTGCAGCACCAGAGGCTCCCCCACCACGTATTCGTATCTTGGACAGTCGGCAGAGAGAGGTGGAAACTGTGCGCATTGGAGACCGTCTCACCTTCCGTATTGAAATACCAGAGGACAGTAAGTATTCATGTCACAAATAACATAGAAATCGATGGTTAAAGATTATAATTTAATAATTCCTTCTTTTTGCAGCTCCCTATGGCATCTTCGCACGTAGCTGCGTCGCTATGGCTAAGGATTCTAAGAGCACTTTCCAAATTATTGACGATGAAGGGTAATTATGAACTGTATGTAGTTTACAGAGTAATAAAACATTTTTAAAGGTTTAAAACGCGAAATATATATCAGTGTGACCACGGCCGCTGCAAAGCATCCGAAATGTCGCGCCGTAATAATCCGTTAAAAGTGTTTTATTCCTAAGATAAAAGGTATGTAGTATCTGTGGTTTTCCGAATATCCAAAAGAGGTGGACAACGCATTCCGTTTAAATATTATATGTCACCTGTGTGATCCCGTTCTAACCTACTGTCAATTTCCAGGTGCCCAGTGGATCCCTCCATCTTCCCCGCATTCACACCAGATGGCAATGCTCTGCAATCCGTCTACGAAGCTTTCAGATTCACAGAGTCCTACGGAGTTATTTTCCAATGTAACGTCAAGTACTGTCTAGGACCTTGTGAGCCGGTAAGAATGGAGTTGGTATATAAGAAACGAAACATTCAGGACCTCAAGAAAAAAATAATAAACAGATTTATTTCTTAGTATAGTTATCTCTTGCGCAACGAAGTGAGTCTTGAACTTTTGATCACTGTCGATTTGTTCGAAGCCAATATAGGTCGACAGCGTAACTTATTGAGATGCTTTAGTATGGCTAGTCTCTTAGTTTAGTCGTTTAAGAAAACTTAAAATCTACCTACCTATTTCTAAATTGTTGTTCTATATTGTTTTAAATTTGTGTTTTAAGCCAAGAGATAGATAAAGACATAAGTTTCATGATCTTTCAGGCGGTGTGCGAATGGGGCAGAGAGTCTATAGAGTCTTGGGGCAGAAAGAAGCGTTCCTTGCCCCACAACGAGACCGGCGAAGCGGCTGCGGAGGAAGAAATGAACATTTCACAGGAAATTCTGGTTCTCGACTTCGGTGATGAGAGGCAGAGTACCGATTTCCTTCGCTCCGACAAACCTGGTGGTACGGCATCTGAAGCCAACTTTGGAGGTTTGTTATGAAAACATTGAAATAATAATTAGTTCAGTGATTGATTTGTAGATGGCGTCTTAAACAATATTTCTTTTACAGAGAAAACGGTGACAATTGTGGAGCCATGTCCCAGCAAAGGGTCTGTACTGCTGCTAGGCGTCGCTTGTGCTCTACTAGTACTCCTGTACATTGCCACCATCTTCTGCTACTACATGCGCAAATGGCTCGCACCGCCCAAGCACTTGTAATAGGCATTTAGCTCATAAAATAAGAAGTAATGTTAACAAAAGACGATCTTGTGATCAAATGACTGATAAAATCGAGATAAATCTTCAAGTATTCCGTCCGCATTTGCAAGTGTTGTAGTTTTAAGAATATATTTGCCGCTAACTCGTAACCACCGCATATATGCGTATACTGAACTCGTGCATTTGTAAGCATTTATTATTTAAGATATTCTAGCCTTAGGTACAAATAAACCCTCTAACACTGACTCTGAGGCGCTAAATACGTAATTATAATTAAAGCATTTACAGAAATTGCATTTACTATAAATTAAGTGTTAGATAAATCTAACTTATAGCTTAATAATTATTGAAATTTGTAATTGATACTTTCGGAATATTCCCTGAGAATTGTCGAATCGCCCGAAGATTTGATGGGAACATTCTGATGGTGTATTGGAGCAATAATATATTTTTGCAAATATTGTATACATTTTGTGCCCGACTTCGATGTGTGTACTTAGGTAAGATTAAAAAATGTCTTTGTTGTAAATATTTTATCACCTAAGTTGGCGCTAAGTACTCTATTTTTATCCATTTATTATTCTTTACCCTGATGAACTTTCAGTTGGGTTTTGCAGAAATGATAAGAGACAATAAAATAATTAAATTGATTGCGTATCCCCTTCATTTCCCTCAACCCAACTTGAGATTTCTTCTTTATTTATTTAGATTTACTCACATTTATTTCCATAAGTACTATTTATTTTTTTTACATATTTAATAAATAAAATTTGTACAAATTATACTCTTTTTTTATTTCATCACAATAGTAAACTATAAGGCAATAACAAAAATAAATAATATAAAACATCAGTCACAAATCAAACTGTTGAGTCCATAAGCTTGCAGTATAAACTATTTAATATGTCTTCTTGCATTTCTGTATCAATATCTTCCGATTTACAACCGAAAACTTTTTCAAAATTTTTCAAAAACATCGGAGTTATGATGTCTGTGGTACATTTGACACCAGTTTCATTGGTGAGTGAGGTGACTCCTTTATCTTCGATTCCACATGGTACAATGTGATCAAACCAGGACAGATCATTATCACAGTTTAATGAGATTCCGTGACTTGTCACATATCTTGATGCATGGATTCCAATAGCTGCAATTTTGTTGTCTTCTATCCATACCCCGGTGTGGGGTGAACGATTAGCTTTTATACCTGAGAATATGACAATATAATGTACCATCTAATAACATAGCTAAATGGTTATTGTTGCTAAGTCTTGCAAGGGGTTCTTTTGTCAAAGATGTCTCACATGAGCATGGGGGTTTACTTGATGGAAAGTAAATTACCCTATCCATATACCATCTCAACTAGATGCTTTATCCACCTATTTTGGCTTTAGATATATTTGGCTTGTTTCTGTCGGGCAGGTCACAAAGGGATGTTCAACTAATTATAAATAAAGATGAAATGTATCTGACTGCTGCTTCACCGAGCAAGCAATTCATATTAAACAAACTAATATAAGTTATTTATATACTGTCTATAGTTTACGCGAGTAGTACACATTTAAATAAAACACTTTAACGGTTTAAAACGCGATATATTAGTTAAACTTATTTGAAAATGATTTTTAACTTCGGCCCGACGTTTCGGATGCTTTGCAGCAGCCGTGGTCACGGGGAGACGGCTGCTGCAAAGCATCCGAAACGTCGGGCCGAAGTTAAAAATCATTTTCAAATAAGTTTAACTAATATATCGCGTTTTAAACCGTTAAAGTGTTTTATTTAAATAAGTTATTTATGTTAAAAATAGTTTACATTATAGATATAAATCTTACCCAATTCTTCACATAAATTGATAATAGTTTGCTCCAAGCTATTCACATACCATTTGACACTAGTTTTATAATGTTTCAAGTTAATTACAGGATATGCAACTAATTGACCTGGACCATGAAATGTGATTAGACCTCCACGGTTTGTTTTTCGAAACTCAGCGCCTAATTCTCTTAGTCTATTTATTTCATCGTTTGGAGTATCATCTCTGATACCTAAAAGTTGTTTGCGATTTTTACTATTTAGTTATAAAGTAAAGGTTTAGTGCTTGTTCCAAATATTTATTTGAAAGCAGGCGAGGTTAGTATTTAAAATATTACCAACTGTATAAACCGGTTTGTGTTCTACGAGGAGCAATGTATCATAGTCAACATCAGTTCCTTTTGTCATAGAATCTAAATGTTTCCTCGCGATGGCCATTTGAATTTTTAAAGCTGTATCGTAAGACATGAGACCTAACCTCCATACTTTTATCATTTTGCTAAACCTAAATTTTATTTGACTAGTTTAAAACTGTTAAGAATATATATAGCATAACAGTATATAGCAAAATTACTGTGATGATTTGTACTTTTTATACTTTTTTGTGTAACTTTGAGGAATCAAAACAAACGAATCTTCAAAACAAAACAATTTCTTTTTTTAATGACAGCTGTCATCTGATTACCTTTTACTTGCCAGACAATTTATTTTTAATATTTTGTCACAATTATTATTGTAAAAATCAAAATTAGGTTTTATTGATTTCATAAAATAATGAATTGTTTTATTGAATAAACAAAATTTAATTTTATTTGCATCGAAATAGTAACGCCATCTATTCAAATTTTTTGTAACCTTGTAAGAAACTAAAGTTTTATTTTATAACAACTCAAGCAACTAACTCAAGACGAAACTCCTGGCCTATTGCTGACATACACAAGGTATAAATATAATCTTTAAAAAGTACCACTACTGTCCGTTAGATAGCGTTGATGACCAATATATTTTTTCATTTTCAAGAGCCTTCAATATAAGCAATAGAATTACCTCGTAGAAGTTTATGGGTTTCAGTTCAACCAGTTACCTCGTGTACTACCGTTCGTAGGGCGGTGTTTCGCTCGTTACGTAAACCAGCTGTTAACATAAACATTCGGCTTTCGATACAATAATATTTTTAATATCGGAAGAAACTTAGATACATCATGTGCTGATAAAATACGTAATAACTTACACATTTTCTGTAAACAATAACTTAGTTTTGAAGCAGTTTAATCAGTTCCTTTTTACATCTAAATTATTTGTTTAGATATTGGAAAAATAATACTTTAGATTGAAATATATGTCGTGTTTAAATAGGGTGCTAGGGGAACCACGATCAGACAATATGTGGAATTCTATAAAGCGATGACAAAAGGGGTATGTATTATATACATATTTAATTGACTGTAAGGGTCTATGCACCTAGGCCCATTTAGAGATACCTAATCTTGGGAAAAGTTTCTTTTCGGATAATCTTAATAAACCGCATACGCTTGATAGTTGAACTAAAGCAAATTAAATCAGACCACTGTATAAGTATAGATTCAATCACCAGACAGATTGACATGCCTGTAGTTAACGTACGAGTAACATATTAAATAAATCTCGAAATATTTTTAAACTACCCTACTGTGGCTAGATGTAATGCTTATTAAACGTAGGATCATTTATTAAAAAGTATACAAATTTAGTAAAAAAAAATTGAAGAGTGTTTACAATTAAGGACCAATGTGTTTAATGATAGGAATATGTCTTTCAAAATTAAACTATTGGAACGAATAAAGTACAGCTTAAAACGCGGAATACAATCTATTTTATTTTGAATCCGTTAAAAGCGCTTTATATTCAGATTAAACAATGTATGTGCTTTTGAATGATCATGGAAAAAGGAAATAATTAAAATCTATAAAAAAAGAGATATTATATAGGTAGGTAAGTATCGTTTGTACGCGAGTAGTACACATTTGAATAAAACATTTTTTCGTCCCCAGTGACCACCTCTGCTGTATAGCATCCGAAACGTTGGGCCATAGTTAAAATAAATTATAAATGGGTTAACTAATATATTCTGCGTTTAAAACCGTAAAAACTTTTTTATATATATATTTGAAATGTCGCGCTATACCTAAAAATGTATATTCACTTAGGACCTAGTACGGAAATCTACAGGAAAAGGGTTTGCACGTACAACCCCTTACAAAGCACTTACTTTACTCTTGATAGCGCGGTACAGACCACTTAAGGGCTCTCAGTTTTACCCCCAGTATTTATAACATAGGGCTTTGATCAAAATTTTAACTGACATTGCTTAAAATGAAATTGAATCATTATAATTTTCACAGGTCAATACGAATATGAATATTTTAGACTAGCTGAGCCCGCGACTTTGACCGCGTGGAATAGTTATATTAACCACCTCCTTAGCTTTATAAATTATAACTGAGAAGGTCCCGCGGCCCGTGCTTATTTTTTCATATATTTCCCTTCATCAAACAAACTCTTTGCTCTTGAAATTGAAACGGGCGGAATTTTTTATTAAGATTTTTCGAAAGAGACACGGTGGCAATGCGATCATGGGTTTGAGACCCGCATGGGTAAATTTATAATTAAATAAATAAAATTTAATTTTATTAAAATATGAAATCAATAAAGTGTTTTATTACGACTTTAAAGTGTTGTACTTTATCTATGTATTATTTTAGTGGCGTTTTTATATTGTTTGTTATGAGTTATTATGAAAATATTTTTAGCAAAACCTAAAAGATTACCTAATAAATACTAATAACTTAGACACCGGTCCATATACGTAACCAAAGTCCTAAAATTCAATACCATAATTATTACGCACCGATGGACAAATATTATGTTACGGGTGTCGTTAACCTGCGCAAGAGCACCCCACAACATCCCCTATTACGTTATAATTAGCTTGCACGGGAAACACCGCTCTTCCTGTCTCATCTAGACAAGTTACGACTATACATAGATAATAGGTAGAGATGGGCCGAGTATTCGGTTGATACTCGGTACTCGGCGGCTTTTTTTTAATACTCGTACTCGGTCGAATAACTCGGTTAGTATAACTGAGTTGTTATTTGACAACGAGTATACTTTGTTTAAGAAAAACAATATATTAAGGTAGATATAATCAAAACAACAGTGTCAAATACTGTTGTTGTGTGTAACAGTGTCAATTCAAAAGTATTTATTAGTAATTTAGGAAATCTTTCAAATTTCAATTTATAAAATCAAAACTATGTTAACGAATGAGTAGTAATGAGACAGAAAACTACGAGAAGTTGAGAGCGAGCCGACGTCTTGACCGGCGTGAACCTGTTTGTACTTGTTTACGCGCGCAAAGTGAGAACTTGATTGAACCGGTTCAATCAAGTTGAAAAAAAATTGAAAGTAGAACACAAATATAATTGTTCAATTCAATCTCGTAGTTCCTGAGATTAGCGCTTTCAAACATACAAACAAACAAACTCTTCAGCTTAATAATAAAATAGAAAAAACATGTTACGAATTTAAATAAAACACTTTAACGGTTTAAAACGCGATATATTCACGGTACGGGGGTCTACCTGAGACCAAATCTGCGGGTGGAAGTTAAAAATCATTTTCAAATAAGTTTAACTACTTAATATATCGCGTTTTAAATCGTTAAAGTGTTTTATTTAAATGTGTACTACTCCCGTAAACTATAGACAGTATTTAAAACGAAGTAATACTATTTCTTACTGTTAATTTATGTTACTTTAGTCTCTGCGTTCGGAAACATTTTGTTTATCATGAGCGGTGAACTTTTACATAAATATGTCAATAATATACATTAAGGAAGCGATAAGAAATTGAGAAATACAGAGAGTAGATTTTGTGTAGAAGCTAAAATTATCCCCAGAGATTGATATGAATAATCCTCCGACTTAGAGAGGACGACACAACACTAGTGCGACGCGATTTACGAGCTCGCCCCCGCACTAGCTCAGGAACTAGCCAATGCGAATGATGGTGCGCTTTTTGTCGGCTAAGCCTACTTTTGGCTAATAAATTAATATTTAAGAATGTAACATTGTGTTTCCGTCTTAATAATATATATACCTTTATTACTACTACTATTGTTACTATGTGTTAACTAGCTGTGTTAACGACTTCGTCGGCGTAGAATTTTGATCATCCAATTTTGTTTTTGCAAACCTCTTGTTACTGACGACGTCGGTCTCGTCGTTCTTGCAAGTTAATCTTAAAAGATGGACATATTATAGTGTCGTTGACATTTCTTTAGATTGTTTAAAGAGGAATAATTATCTTGAACCGTTTTTCGCAGCGTACGGATTGGAAACCCTCTAAGATGAATAATTTTCCCCGTTTCTTCCACATTTCCCACTGTTTCTTCGCTCTTATTAGTCACAGCTCCATGTTTTAACTATAACTTTCCTCGATAAATGCTCTAACCAACACAAAAATATGTTTTTATTTCGAACCAGTAGTTCCTGAGATAAGCGCGTTCAAACAAACAAACAGTTTTAGCTTTATATATTAGTATAGATAATAATAAAATAGAAAAAAAAACTTAAAAAATTCGAAACAACCGTAGAATTTTTAGCATATGCCTAATTCCAGAAAAGCAGAAGCTGCCAATTTGAAACTTTCTTTAAATACGGTGCTGTTTTGAAGACTTGTAAATTTGGTTAACCTCAGTTAACTTGTGACTCATAACAAACGTTCAAAGTTTGTGAACTCCGCGGTCTTTCGGCGGAACGACGTCAGGTTGCCATGGCGACGGCGCAATAGGCCTGCAAGGTCCGTGACGAGCATCTAAAGCCTCCGGATCGATGTGGGATTTACACTTGCGGATCTTGTGACTCACAACTTTGAGATACATTCCCTTATATCAAAGCTATATCATCTCTAGTTTTTCAACCAAGCTTAAAAAAAATATTTGTTAGTTTAACCATATATGAGGCTGCTAGAGCCAGAGTGGCCTAATAACGAGAGATTTTCAATAAGCAGGAAAATAAAAATTTGCAATTAACTTAGGCGAAAATTAATTTGTACTATTTGTGTTTTTCCAAGCTGATATGGATGACGATGTAATGTTGATAAGGTTTTCGGGATGTGATGATGACAGACCAAAGAAAACGAGGGCAATCTCCAAGACTCATATCGGAGATTTTTTTGTACATTACTTTATTTCTATCATATAGTAATTTGATATTTTTGTAAGATTTTAATAATATTAAACACCTAGGCAATTCAAAATTATAAAATATTTATTAAACAACTTCTATTTCTTTGTGCGAAATAAGAATTACTTAATATTTTCTTATCAACATTATTTTATTGTATTTCGTAGTTTATGTTTTATATCGATACTCAGAACGCAACAAAACAAACCCTTAATTTCAAAGTCGTAATTACATGACGCTGTCTGTAACAACTGAGTCGGGAGATGC